GGTGCCATGATGGGGCAAGTGAAGGCTAGGTTTGGCATCTCCATCACTGCCTCTGGAATGTATGTGTTGCATTTTCTCCGTTGGATTGAGTTGACAACGGCGGTGATTGGAGCACACAAAATTGCAGCCCTTGGTTGAACTTGAATGTCAAAATAAATTGGAGAACTCTTCAACTCATAAAGGAGTTTGATTAAGGTTACTGCTAACAAAGCTGAGTTCTGGTTGAAAAAAGGTGGAAGAATTAAGACCAAAAATCAAGGTTACCTGACTGCGTTTGAAAATGCATACCTTAGATAAATCGGCCGTCATATTCTACCCAAGAAATAATGCATAATGCAGAATTTTGTTTTCTGAAAGGCTTGTCAGTGGGAAAAATTTGTGATTTATCTAACGACGGCAGTGGAAGAAAAGTCATTTAATATTTATTCCCATGCTATATTATTCTCCGCTGGGTGGAAGTATCTCAATAAACTCTGCAGCAACCTGGAAAAATGCTAATTTTTAAACGCTCTTTAGCATAAATTACTCAACTGCAAGGAAATTATAAAATTGGGAGAAAATTGCGTTTTAAATGAGAGAGAAAGCAAGTACTTTGAAAGGACAGGGGAAGTGAGGATGATGGTTGTGGATGTTCCCAAGCAAAAGGCAAATGCATTCTATTTTAGCTACTGAGCAATTTCATGTGCTTTGAACTGGGAAGACTGGCTTTAGAAATTAAGTAAAAAGTGGACATTTATAAAGCAGTATGCACACACCAGCCTCAGTTGACAAATACGTTATCCATGTTTTAGTTGGCATATTTTGTAACATGAGAACATTAGGTAATCATATTCTCCTTTATTCTGATATAAACGGTCTACATTGTGCAAATAAAAGTGTTTTTGCAAAATTCTTCAAAACTCAATTTTGACAGATAAAATAATCCATTGGTGAAGTGGGTCTTCGAGATTTGCTTGAAGACAAAAGAAGACATGATACTAGGGCGGAATAGATATTACCGAACTTCAGAGGGACTGAAGTCTACTATCCTGACCCGGAAGCTATGACGACCTGCGCAAGTACAAAGGATGGGACTTCATCGCCCACGTAACCAAATCAAAGTGTTGAACAAACAGTTAGATTATTACATGGCGTTGTCAACGGTGCTACCCTTGATCAAACTACCGCGTCTGCCATCGCAACGTAGTCCGTTCTGTAAGAAAAATATTTACGAATCAACAGCACCAGTCTTCAAATTTACGTGCAAATGACAACTCCACAGAAATTAGAGCTTTGACCTGCTTAGAAAGTGTATTAAAAAGGGGAATGTGCAGAGCAGTCATGAGAGCACTGGCCTAAATGCAGCCACTTAATAAAGGTTAAGGTTTAAAATGGTTTCATGGTTTTGCCTCTGTTTCTCCTTGCCACCTAGTTCACACTGTTGCTGGTAGAGAGGAATCGCTAGTAGAGGTGGAGCAGCTACCTCATTTTCAATTACTTGGCATCTGCGTACAGGCACTGTAGATAACTCCAAAACAACCTTTTTAGATGGTCCACGTCTAGCGTGGCTTCTGCTGCTAATGACACGCCTACAGAACAAGAGACTGAAGTAGTCGCCGAGAGTAGACGTCACTTTCAACCCTTCTGTAGAGGTTAGTCAACAGTATGTATCCATTATTCGCTACTATATTGTGTAGCATCTAGAAATGGGATTCAGAGTAGTCGTCTTTCAGAATCGAGTTCTCCTTTTTGCTGTCACCAACGCAGATTACCAAGACTTCCTTGAACACGAAAGAGGAAATGATGTAAGGGCAGAATGCTGCCCACGTACGGAATAATTGGATCTACCGTCTTGGCCGAGAGGCCATGCCACCAATTGTATGTGCATCGGTTGAGCCTTAAGCGGCCTCGGAAGTAGAACGAAGATTTAAAAAGCAAGCAAAATACTTTAGGTGGGTGTGTTAAGTACGATTTAAGTGGTGTTATTTACTTTAATTTATTAATGATTGACAGTGCTATGGGCTAAAGTCCTAAACGGCATACGTATGCGCAAGATTACAGAGAGACTTGTTTGCATTTGGTGTTCTACCGATGTTAAGACCCGGCTTCTGAGTCAGTAAATCATTGACCTTTGCGAAAGGAAAGTCACTTCTTTGCCAGATTTCTAATCATTTAAACAAGTAAAATCAAATTCATTGTATCCTTAAAAGTAAAATGTTTAAATCACTTAAGAGCCAGTACCAAAACTGGCCTCTGCCATAATTATTAAGCACAACCGTCATCGAAGAAATGCTCTCTGATATGTGGTAGTGGCCCGTAATATCTTTTAACAGCTAAATTAGCGAAAACCTTTTTTGTTCTTTTCTGCAAAAGTTTGGTAAAATCAAAGTTAGTTTAACTAAGTGTTTAAAATGGGTATTCCTATAAATTAGCCATCTTTGTTATTGGTTTTACAAGCATTTTAGACTTCGCCTTTTGGCTTCCCTTGGGCAGCATAGCCTCTAAGCTGGGGACTTCCCTACGTTTTCAATACATTGTCTGCGTAAGTGCAGCGCCTTCTTTCGCCTTTGGAGAAATCCCGGAGGGCTCTATTGGTGACGATGCAAAGCCACTCTGATCCTAAAGGGCCAGTTCCCTGATTTCTTCTGCTAAATGCTGGAATTCAAATTGACAGAATAAGGGCGTATGCTGCAGGTGGGAGAATCTGTGATCACCCTCAAAAAAGGGTTAAAAACGACGTTTATTTTCAGCAACCACTCCAGTCTCGTGTTCTGCAGGAAAGCTATTAACATCCATATCTACATTAGACTTGAGCCATCGAACAATGTTCGTTATGGAGCTGTCTGTTATAGCTGTATGAAGGTGCTAATTGGGTAACCATACTGTGCCCCGTTTTTGCCTTTCTACTAGCTAGATAGAATCTAGGTAGATGTGCTTAACCAGCATTATCGAGAATAAAGCGACAATGAGGAACAGACACGAAACCTTATTTTAAATGAAATCATTTCAAGTTTCGTCCTTTATCAAATTACGCTGATTTATGGCCAGAGTTCTCTGAATTAGCGATAAACATACGCGATGGTCTGCTCACTTATCCCTCCCCCAATCCAGTTCTCAAACAAGATAAATTCCGGTTCCAGTGGAATTGCAAAGCAAACTCCGTGAAGTTGCAATCAAATATCTTCTTAATTGCATACAAATTCGATTACTAGTGCAGTCAGTTCCAGAGTTTTTTTCTTCAACATCGACTGTATTGTGGTGAACGACGCGAAGATTGATCGGAGGGAGCGCTGGGACGACACTTGGAAGGAGAGAGGCGATATGTAGCACTTCAGTTGTTTCTTTAACTCTTCTTTGGTTATGCGATCACTCGAAACCCCGCCTTGATGCCTTCACATCAAACCCCTGTGTTATGCCTTTCTTGGTCTTCCATGGACTTCCGGAGCACCGCAACTGTTTATTTGCTTACACTTAATTAGTAAAAACAGAATAGTATTTTTGCAAAATTAGTATGGACATTTCATTGATCGATTACTTGATTGTTTTTATGGGTAAAGAAATTGTTTTATGAGGTATCACCTATATTTCATTTTAGAATGATAGGACAAAATAGTGTTTCCTAATTGATGAAAAAAGGATTGGACGCAAGCTTTCAGATGATGTGCTACCAGGTTGACAAATATTGCGTGCAATTTGAATCTGCTAATACGAAAGCCTAGCAGTTTTTTACCTGAAAATTTAGCACTTTATTTTGAGATGCAGGAGCCATGGATCTTATCTACACGGTCATTTGGTACGGTGATAAATAAAGAATCTCCTAAACGGATTAAAATTATCAACTATAGGCTAGTTTTACTTTACAAACTCAAAATATTAATAGATGACAAATGATGAGGTTATTTAGTGAGTTTCAAGAATGTCATATCTACTCTGTGATAAAGATGTGGGATTTGCCTGACACCGGAGAACGTCGTGACATTCACCAAAGGAGGTGTGTGCAGCTCTACTTTGGGAATGATTAAGTAAGCTCATCCTGTCAATAAAGCACTGAAAAATATGACAGAACTACGACTTTTTCCGTGTCTTCTTAGGGATATCAGAATCAACAGAAATCAAGATCACTTGGGCATAATTACCTGATTCGAACTTATCACTGCAACAATTCCCGAATTCTTAATGCAGGATGACCAAAAATACCCCCTTATATTATTGCTATAGGTAGTAATGCTGTAAAACACCACCTCTAAGGCCTAATTGGAACATCTTTTGTAAACATAAATAAAATAAAATATTACTCTTTCAGTCCCGGAGGTGGCATGACAGCTAATGGGACAGCCTTCGGCCCAATTTACCCATTAAT